AATTATTAAATAGTTAAAGATGTTAAACACCCTAAGGATATAAGAAAAAACTGTTAGAGATGAAGGTTGGTCTTCAAGTTTTTCTGATACGGAAACCTCATCTAAAAAGTAATTTATTAATTGAAACGAAGTAAGACGTTGCAATGATTTTAGTTTGAGTAAAATTACGCACATACAACCTAAAATTTATATATTTTACTCTTATGAAAAAATTAAAATATCAAGACTCACATTTAGCTTGTTAAGATCGAAACAATTCAATTTAGTGCCCAATCTCATATTTAATATTTATAGAATAAAATACAGTTACATTTAATTTTATTAAATTCTTAGATTTATTTTAAATGCAAAGTTAAATTTTATTATAGCGAATAAAATTGTTCGTTCTGTTTTATTATTTTTTTGTTAAATTTAAATACCGGAGTTAGAAAAATAAAAGAGAGCGGAAAGTATTTTTAGGGCTGTTTTTAATTTCGCTTTTTAATAAATTTTATCTCAGAATACCCTTCTGTTTTAGTTCTTTGTTTAACAGACTTTAGTCACTTCAAGCCAAATTTATTAAATCAACCAGTACTTAGATTTTTTATTATAATTAAAATTTTATTAGAAAGTTATAAAAATGGGTGAAAATTGTAATAAAATTATTTATTTAAGCAAAGTGAGTTTTTATTTGATCTGTTGAATTCTTTACCTCATTAAAAATTATTTTTAGTTTTTCTTTATTGTCAATATTTAAAATGCTCGTTAAATATTTTTGAGATCCGTTAATAGAATTCAAATTATGGTAATTCAACCTATATACTTTTATGGATTTTGATGAACCATAATCAATATAATAATCGAAGATTTCATCAAATGAAACCAACTCAAAATGATCTGTTTTTATTAATGTAATATAAAAAGAGTTTTGGTGTTCATTTCCGAAACCCCCTTTAATTGCAATATAATTCAAAATATTTTTATACACCAGAACTTTGAAAAGTTGAGATTTTGATTTACGAAGAATTGTTCTATTTATAAAAACTAATAATAATGTTCGTACATCCATCATAAAAATTTTTATTAATGGAGATTCCAAGTATACATCGGTATGTAAATCTTTATTTATTTTTATCTCATTCTTAATATTTTCTTTCAAAAAGGAAAATTTATAAATCACAAGACTTATTATGTAATGGGAATACTTTAAATGCCTAATCGAAAAGTTTTCAGTGAAAACATATCCTATTACCTCCTCGAATTCCGGTATTAATAAACATATAATTTTAAAATCTGCATTATTAATAATTCTCTCTAAAATCTTCAAAAGTATTAAGACATGCTTAAAAGTAGCGTCTGCGGGCAGGAGTATATTATGAAAAACAAAACCTTTTATGCCAGCATTGTCTTTGTTATATTCAAGTAACTCTTCATATAAATGTTTAATGTATGTTTTGGGATATTTTTCGAATATAAAGGAGTAAGTAATAAAAGAATGCCTATAATACTCATTGTATGTTTGAACAATTTTATTATTATCCAAAACATCCAAATTCTTTTCATTTGCCAAATTGTTCTTTAAATCACCAACTTCTTTTAATAAAGGTAACTTATCTCCTTGAAGAAGTTTAGAGAATTTAGAAAACTTGTTATCCTTTAATATTTCCTCTTTTTTTAAAACAAAGTCCCCTGTATAGTATACAACTGTACTTCTAAAGGAAATAAAATATTCAGATTCTACAAAATAAATGATTTCCTTGTATGCAATTTTTATAGGTAATTCTTTTGACGTTTCCTCTAAATCTTTAATAATTTCTTCTAAACTAGTAGATGTAATTTTCACAGGAAAAATCAACTTTACATTAAAATATCTTTCTTTATTTTCTTTGAGAAAGGAAAATATTTTGGAAGTTTTAAAATTTATATTTTGGCTGGGTTCCTTAGGAAATCTTTCGCTGTTTGTGGATAAAGAATCTTTGGCACAGTCTTCATTAAATGAATCAGATTTATCATCAGTTTTGTTTTGAGACAAAGTTAAACTTCTTATTTTGGAGGATTCGGTTTCATTAAACGTTTCTGTAGGACTACTCTTTAACCTGGTAATTAACTGATCAGTAACTGACTTTGTATCAAGTAAATCACTTGGGTTGTTACTTTCTATAGCACTTAAACGAGGAGTTTTTGCTTCATTGGGTTGAGTAACATTTTTTAGAGGTCGAATACGAGTTTTTGTTTGTTTGCTTTCTTTAGGTGTTTCTTTGCTAATTTTGTAAATAGTAACACTATTTTTCTGAAGTGTAAATTCTTTACATTTACAAAATCGTTCTTCGTGTTTAGTAGATTTTAACGCTGGCTTACTTTCAGAGTCATCTTTCAAGATCTTTCTTTTTATAGAACCATTTTTAGGATTGCAAAAATCTTTAATTATTAAAACTTCGTCTTCATCACAATTCGCATCTTCTTCAGAAATTGTTGGTTCGTCTAGTTTTTTAACATCACTTTTTTCTGAAGTTTTACTAGAATCGCTCGTTAATGATGTGGATGGTAAAAGCTTGTCTCGTGTGTTTATTCTCTCGTCATGGCGTTTGGTGTTGTTTCTTTTCCACTCCGGCAAAAGTCTTGAATGTAAGTTTCTTTTTTCAATCCTATCACAACTCATATTTATGAATGTAAAACAATTCAGCAAGAAAATCATAGGGTAAAAAAATTTTTTAATTAAATATTGTCAATTTACTTTTTTTAGTGATATGGTTAATTTTTGACTTATTTTGATTTTTTATGGGTTAACAAAAATTGACGTGATAGATTTACAAAGTGGGGACTTATGTAAATATTTGAAGATTATTCGAATATCTTCTATTTTAGGAAAACAGATAAATTTAAATGTTTTTAAGTTTTAGCGTTAAAAAATTTTTCTTTAAAAAACTCATAATTTTCAAAAAACTATAATAATTTTCAATAAACTAAATTATTTTCATTAACACAGAATTGTGTCGAAATATTTAAGAAATTCAAAAATAAGAATCAAGACGGGGGCATAAAAATATAGAATTTGCGATATCGTACGAAGAGCTCTAAAATTTGCTATGCAACGCTTTATTTTAAAACTTTAAAATTTTTTAATTTAACACGAATTACTTACTGATTTGTAACAAAATTTAATTATAATTTATTTATTAAAATTACGAACTCTAAAAACCTTCATCAAGACAAATAATGAATAATTTAACTATTTAAAACTATCTGTGTTCATATATATTTGAAAAATTTAACCATAAATACTATTTCAATCAATACGTCTTTAAAGATATTTTTATCTTTGATCAAGAAATTCTCAAATTTTCTTGTTTTTGAAAGGTGTTAAATTACAACTACATGAGGGGTTTAGATTTAAATACATCAAAAACTAAAACACTTTGTTTATCATTTAATTTTAGATTTAAAAATTAAAAATGAAGTTAGAAAATTTTAAATAATAGTTTAAAAATTTTTAGTGTAATGTCTCATAATTGTTCAAAAGAGGAATACTAATGTATTTACTTAAAATAGATTATTTTCACTATTGCTTAAAAAATTTGCGAAGATCCTTTTTGCTTTTTATTAATCAATTCGTCATTTTAAACTTATTTTTTTGCAATTATTTTTTCTTTTAATTTGTTAAATATATCGAATCTTCCATGGTCAAGGGATAATATAATTATAAATGTTTGTCAAAGTAAATCATATTTTAGTAGTATTTTAAAATATCCTTCATCTTTGAATTTTCGTCTTAAATATTTTTAAATACATTTTTGCTTCGCAAAAAATTCTTTTAATTATTACTCTTTCCTCAAATTTGAATTTTCCAGGCAATTTAGATTCTTAATCTTAGGATTTATAACTTTAACAAATGAGCTGGGACGTATGTAATTCTTGTCTGTCAAAATTTCCCGCATATAATTATCATCTAAGGATACTGCAATACTTTCATATAGTTTTTTTGTTAAAAAATTCATAGCATTTAGATTTTCGTAAATTGTAAAACAACTATACACACTTTCGGAATTTATGTTATGACTATAAATTCTAAATAAAGGATGCATAATCAAAACATAAATTCATGTATAAATAAAATTGAATAAATAACCTACATGCTATAATTTATCAAAAATGATAAACAAATAAAAATAAAAGTTTTAGCCACGAGCCGGAAGTCATAACAAGACTATAATTAATATAAAAATCTAAAAATTATAATTCTTTCACAGTCAGAAAAATACGATCTAACAAAGAACTGTAAAAAATTTTTTCAATGAACTAAATTTTAGATTATATATCCATATCTTGTAGAAGATTTATTAAAAATAATAATTAGTTTCCGAATTTTCTTTTACAATTTTAGACTTAGAATAGTTCTTCTATGATTTTTGTATGCGTTATTTTTTTAGAGACTCTAAAATGTCAAAAATCAAATTTTTTATATCAATTAAAAGTATATAATCTAGATCTTTCCTTAATATTTCAAGGCTTTGTTATGTATGGAAAAATAAATCCATAGATAGTTTAAAAGTACTAAAGCAGTATAAACACAAATTTGAGATAATACAACTTCTTATGCAGCCTTCAGCTGCAATTCTCTGTCAAAATCAACTTTATGATTTCTTGTTTTATGCTTTTGAATTTTATATTTCGATGAATGAGGCACGACAAAAACATTAGAACCTAAAAATTTTTTTTAATTCTTCAAATTAAAAAATTGTATTTTTAGTTGGTTGATCATATTCCGAGCTTGCAAGCTTTTTCTTCTTGCGCAAAAAAAGAACTTCTATACCTAAATCTATCTTTATAATTGTCCCGAGGGACTATGACTCTACACTGAATATTACCATTTGATATCACAGGAATACTAACAGCATCTCTGGAAGGGAGAACTTCATAATAAAGTACATTTGCAATTGTTGTATTGGTACCTTACTGCTTTGACATAGCTCCAATCTGCTAACCCAGTGAGGGGGCCTTTCTGTTCCCTAGTCCTACCATGTACAGTCAACATTTTGCAGCCAGCAGACTCCAACATTTTAGCATATGCTACTGTTTTTTCCACACTCTCAAATCTTCTTACTTTACATGTCACAGGAACAGCCAAATGCTTGCTCAAAGTACTCACTGCAAGACAAAAATGAATTCAAGTTTGAAACTATTCAGAAAGCTTACCTATTTCTTGTAAAAGAGCCCATTCATCTTGCAGGAATGCTCCATAATGCCCCCTTTTTGCAATTGCCTGGGGGCAACCTAAATTTATATCGATGGCACAGCAATGATCCTGTGCTAGAAGAGCAGCTTCCAGCATTACTTCAGGATCATTTCCACAGAACTACCATATGAAACTGATTAGCCTCGAAAAAAAAATAAACTGCTAGAATATGGTACCTGTACGATCAATGGCTTGTCATCTTCGCACGTAGCTAGGCCTTCTTTGCGATATTTGGGGTCCTTGTGAAACAGGGCACTGTGTAACATGGGGGTGTAGCACAGCTGGGCCCCGTATTTCCTACTGAGTAGTCTCCAAGCCAGCTCGCTGGCGTCTACCATTGGGGCCACGATTTTCACTGGAGCACCTAGAGTGTCCCTCCAAAAATCCATATTGGCGATTTGTTATTATTTGAATTAGGTAAAACACGTTTTTGAATGTTATCATGAAATTCTTGGAGTGTCAAAACAAAAGTTCGAAAGTTAACCTAACCTAAGAACGATCTTCTTCTCACTTTCTAGTTCTTCTTCCGGTTCTTTTTATAAAAGTGAATATTGCACTATCGACGAATTTGACAGTGAGAATGATGGAAGTTGGCAATAAAAGCGGAAAGCTGACTTTGAGCGCCGATATCTCGAAAACTATCTGTCCTATCGGGCTGATCATGGTCTCATTCGATTCAGCGTGTCATTTTTCACTATGAAAGCGACTACTCGCGTGAATTCCCGACGTTTTCTGGCACTTTCGGCCGTTCGAAGATAGCTTGGTGACTGAAGTCTCAGGTGGAAAAATGAAAATTTTCATTTGGCCTATTAAAAATCTGAAAAAATTCACATAGACTAATTCGATGTCGAAATGAACGAATCTGTGGTAGAAATCAGGAAATTTTGGGAAATGGACACGTAGTAGCCTACCAGAGTGCATTTATTGGCAATAAAAGCGGAAAGCTGAATTTGAGCGCCGATATCTCAAGAACTATCAGTTCTATCGGGTTGATCATGGTCTCATTCGATTCGGCGTGTCATTTTCCACTGGAAAAACAGTAATTCGCGTGAATTTACAACGTTTTATGGCTCTTTCGGCCGTCCGAAGATAGCTCGGTGACTATATCGTACTGATAAGACTCAGGTGGGAAAATGAAAATTTTTATTTGGCCTATCAAAAATCTGAAAAAAATTACATAGACTGATTTGATGTCGAAATAAACGAATCTTTGGTGAAAATTCACAAATTATGGAAAATGGAGGAGACGTAGTAGCCTACCGGAGTGCACCTATATTGGCAATAAAAGCGGAAAGCTGACTTTGAGCGCCGATATCTCGAAAACCATCTGTCTTATCGGTTTGATGGTGGTCTCATTCGATTCACCGTGTCATTTCCTACTGGAAAAGCGATAATTCGCGTGAATTTCCGCCGTTTTCTGGCTCTTCCTGCCGCCCGAAGATAGCTCGGTGACTATATTTTAAAAATCTGAAAAAATTCACATAGACTGATTCGATGTTGAAATGAACGAATATATGTGGTGGAGATCAGTGAATTTCATGAAATGGAGACGTAGTAGCTTACGGGAGTGCACCTATTGGCAATAAAAGCGGTAAGCTGACTTTGAGCGCTGATGATATCTCGAAAACCATCTGTCTTATCGGTTTGTTGGTCGTCTCATTCGATTCAGCGTGTCATTTTCTACTGGAAAAGCGATAATTCGCGTGAATTTCCGCCGTTTTCTGGCACTTTCGGCCGTCCGAAGATGGCTCGGTGACTATATCGTACTGAAGACTCAGGTGGGAAAATGAAAATTTTTATTTGGCCTATTAAAAATCTGAAAAAATTCACATAGACTAATTCGATGTCGAAATGAACGAATCTGTGGTGGAAATCTAGAAATTTTGGGAAATGGAGACGTAGTAGCCTACCGGAGTGCACCTATTGGCAATAAAAGCGGAAAGCTGACTTTGAGCGCGATATCTCGAAAACTATCTGTCCTATCGGGCTGATCATGGTCTCATTCGATTCAGCGTGTTATTTTCTACTGGAAAAGCGATAATTCGCGTGAATTTCCGCCGTTTTCTGGCACTTCCGGCCGTCCGAAGATAGCTCGGTGACTTCGCGTAGTCGGCGATTATTACGTATTGAAATTTTCAGAAAAATCACTCGACCGCCTACTATGATTTCTCTACATCACAACGAGCGAGACGTTGATTCTACATTTTCCCGTTAGATGGTAATGCTGCTATTGCTGCCTGTGACGAGTGGAAATAAAATGACAAATGGCATTTTAGGTACGCGGAACATATGTAACAGTGGGATTATTCAACTCTGAATTCGAAAAATCTGCGACAATTTCGAAACTGACAGATGTCATGATTATGCAATGTCGCCATCTAATTTCTGAAACAAAAGCGCATCAGTAATTACACCATATCTTACTTCCATCATTACAGTGAGTAAGACACCGAGAACTGGAAAAAGAAAAATTTAAGAATATATTCAGAGGGTTTAGGGTCATTCCAAAGAACACAACAATAATAAAGCCAACACATCTGCGACATGACATAATATATCTCTGAGACGGCGCGTTTAGGTGTCAGTGCGATATCACGAACGTTCCCTCGCTGCGAAGTACAGTAAACACATCTGCGAGATGATCTCTGAGATGTCGCGATGAGGCAACACAGCGATATTACCAATGTTCCATCGCTGCGATGTACATAAGCAAACACATCTGATGCGATTTCCTGAGATAGAGTGACTGAAACTGTCTCTTGTATTTTTCATCAATAAATTTTATAAAATTGCTTCCCCCATAACGCCACTGTTTATATTAATTTTCATCTAGTTAGGGCCAAATCAGTCCCTTATCACTAGAAACAATATGCTGCCAAAGTTAAAAAAAATCGTGAGAAGATATTGGAATTAATTCAAAGAAAAATAGTTGAAAAATAAAAACTATAACACGCTGTAGCTGGGAAACAATGCATTTCCGGATGGACCTACATTTATTGGAACTTTTTTTCATGAAATGATCTGAAGAATCACCCCATTGAATATTTTGCCGCGTCTTTTTTAAACACGCCTGTATATCGATGAATAACTCTTTTCTTTTCAAACTTGGACATCCTACATACAACGGAATCGAAGCATATTTTTGGACCAATGTTCATATAAACTTTTTTTCATATTTATTTGAGAGGAATCTCCCCTTTGCATTTTTGTCACCTCAACTCTGAAACCCCCTGTATAGTATTCAACATTTTCATCGCATGATGTCTCCGGGAAATTGATAAACTTGAAATCAGAGCCTGTATGTTTATCTACGTATCATACACAGAGGGTTTTCCAAATCAATAACTTTGTTAATAATAATAATAATAATAATAAAAGTGCTTTATTGAACATAAATACAAAATGTTCAAAAGGCTATTGACCGAAGTCCTTCTGCCCAGTGAATTATAATAATATTATGGGATATGATTATTGCATGTTAAAATGAGGGTTATTGATAATTAAGATACATAAACAAAAAAAAAAAAAAAAATTCATTGATTGAAAACTTATTATATTATTATGGTGTCTACGTTCTTCATTCCTCTTGCAAGTCGGTCAAGCACTCATAGACGGTTCGAGCTGGGTAAACGTATCTTTGTCGGTGGTTTTGGTTCCTTTTGATTATCATTGGTTCTATCAACTCCATGTTACATTGTTTGTGGGTGAACTTTTGGGTGAGACAGGATATTCTTTCTGATATGGGTTGTGTGGCTGTCACTTCGTATAGGAGCTCGTTCGACGGATTGTGAAGAGGGTTTCTAGGGTGTCTGATTTTGGTGATGGTTCGAAGACTTGATGTTTCCGCAACTTCCAGGTTCCTTATAGCTGGTCTTCTGCAGTTGGTATATATGGGGTGAGCATATTCTAAAATGGGTCGACAAATAGTTTTGTAGATGTGGGATGCTTTGTTAATATATTGTTAATATTGCTACAAAATTAGCCAAATCAAAGAATGAAAAAACAATTGATCATCACGCTTTCAAGTTTGGACAAAAAAAATGATTTATTGTTTTTTTTATGACATGAATATAAGACCGTCTATTTTTGTTCTGTTGGAAACCTAAATATATTATATCCACCGAATCTAGCTTCTGTTTTATTGTTGCCTATATTTTTCCGTTCATTCCCCAGATAGCACAAGACGTCTTTAAGATGTCTGAATTATATCCTATCTTAGTCTGTACGTCTTACTCCCTGAATAAGACGTCTACAAGATGTCATCATTCAGACGTTTTAAAGATATCTGATTCTCACGTCCTGAATACGTCTTAAAGACATCGTAATAATACAAATGAGCAATAATGATATTTGGTAGGTATATTATATTAAGTATTAATCATAATGACTTTTAGTGTGTCATATCTGAACGTTCTCCACTCTCAGAATTCCTGAATTCCACACCAAGTCACTTAGTTATGGTTCTATTCTCATAATATGCGTTAAACTTTTAATAAAAAATATAGGTATGATCATATTGATTCAGGCTAATAGAATATTTCTAATTTCATAATTTTTATAACTTCACCGTAATACCACGTAATACATAGAGGTTATAGATTGTTCAGAGTAAGTTATTTTATAAATCGGGTGTGATGATTTGAAAATACCGCCATGTGAAACGAAAGAGAGATCGTAGCGCCAGAGCCAGAACGGCGAATGCCAGTACTATTTGATTGTTTACATTTTACATTGTTTGGTTTTGGTGATGGTGTTTATTGCGTTTATTGAGAGGTGTGTTTATGTTAATTTCGTTTTGAGTTCTCAATCATTCTCAGCATTGATATTTGTGTATTTTTTGAATCCGTGTTTTCCAGTGGTTCATTGTGTTTTGATTGAGGACAATAATATCTCTGATGTTTAACAGCTGGTCAAATGGATGCAAATGATTGCATTGAAGTATAATAATGAGTATCATGCCTTATTATGTTTACAGTCCACTGTGTGTGTGTCAGGTAAGAAGAACTCCCCCTAATAATGATATTGGTAAACTCCTGAAACTCAACTCTATATCTTTGTTTTCAGGAAGAATGTGGGATCTTCCAGAGATATAAATATGCTTGGTTGACACAAAAAGCAATCAACAGAGGGACTAATACAATCAGTTTTATGTTATATGAAACATAATAAATATTCTCAATTTTCCCATCACAAACAGGGTGGACGAGCAACTTCTTTTCTGGAAATGTCAAACCTGTCCTTGGTAGTTGTACTTTTCAAATAAATGTCACAAAAATCAACTATTTATTTGTATTGTATGTACCTACATGTTTGCTCCATAACTGGCACTTTGACATGAAAAACATAGGAATGAAAACAGTTATTGAATAATACTTTTAACATCAAAATACTTCAAATTCAACTTTGATTAATCCCCAGAGGAACCTTGAAATCCATTCAGAAATGAGGTCTTTCTCATGTCTTTTCTATGCCTTTATAAGACTCAGAAGAGACATTA